GGTTTGGGGAAACAGCGGAGCGGTGAGGGAAGAGGAGATCACAATGGAGAACGCGCGCCCTGCCTGACCTTTCGGTAGTCTCCCACCCGGTCTCTCTGGACGAGTCCCGCTCCGCTGTTCCCGCCGGACTCCTGGAGGCTTGGCAGGTGAGGAACTGGTTCTGCCGTCGAATCCGGTAAGGCCCTGGGGCCCCTGACCCAGTCAGTCCCACCCTTTGGGGTGGAAGGGGAGCCTGATCACCTCCCGGAGACTTCTTAGAAGTCTCACAGGTAGACATTCCCAGGGAGGGGAGTGCAGGGCAGCTGAAGCCATTCAGTCTGCACCGAATCTGTGATTTCACCGCCTGTGCTACGGAATCTAAGTGGGCCCTTCACCTCATTGGCAGTCAGCTGCCACGACATAACAGTGACTCAGCTTCGGCTGACCTGGCCCGGGACTTATACGGGTGCACCTTAGTCAAGGCTGACCAAAGTCTCCCCAAGGAGCACGAACGGACGGGCATCTGACTGGTCTTCTCTCAAGAGGACGCACCCCTCCCTTGTCTGTTGTCATAGCACCTTTACACGGACACATCATGGGATCAGGGCACAGTAAACCCACAGTCCTTGACACTATGATCAAGAATTTCAGGAAGGAATTTTCAGAAGACTACAGAATGAAATTAAGTCCTGACAGGTTGAAAGCCCTGTGTGAATCTGAATGGCCCACTTTCAGTGTAGGGTGGCCTCCGGAAGGGTCTCTAGATGTCCCAACAGTCTGCCAGGCCTGGCAGGTCATCGCTGGAGATCCAGGTCATCCTAATCAGTTCCCATACGTTGACTCATGGTTAGGAATTGCCCAGACTCTTCCCCCTTAGGTGCAATTTGCTTGCAACAGGCAGGGACAGGGTAGGGTCTTAGTTGCCTCAACAAAGAAGCCTGCAAAGAATCAACAGAACCTTGGGCCTCCATAAATTCTTGCTGGTGACCCAGAGGAAGAGGTAGTATTGCCCTCACCTTATGTGCCCCCAAAGCCATCAGCACCCAGCCCCCCAGTCCCAGACACCCCACCGCTGTTGGCCTCCCTGCCATCTCCAGAACCAGCGGATCCACTCTTTCCTGGACCAGCAGCCAGACTGTGCCCTCAGCCAGGAACAGGCGCTTTTCAGATCCTGGTGCAAGAGACACAGGAGCCTGAGAGGCGTGATGAAGACAGGACCATCCAGCCCGGCTGGTCCATGTTTTACTGTCAACCCTTCTCCACGACTAACCTCCTCAATTAAAAACACAACATCCCATCCAAAAAGCCACAAGCCCTCGTTGGTCTCATGAAATCCCTCTTCCAAACCCATCGGCCAACCTGGAAAGACTTCCAAGAGCTTCTATACACCCTGTTCACAATGGAAGAGAGGAGGCAGCTGGGGTCCTTGATTGGGGTACATGGGCTGAAATCGCTGTCCCCGAGTAGCACCCCGAGTGGGACTTCACCACCCCTGAGTGACAGCACCAGATCTACCGATATCAGGACACCCTCCTCCAGGGGATCAAAGTCTGGTCCAAAAAGCCTATGAACATGACCAAAGTATCTTCGGTCACTCAACAACTAGGAGAGTCTCCTGAGGATTACTATGAAGGACAGTTGTGAAGATTATCATATCTACACCCTCTTTAATCCTGAGTTACCAGGGAGCCAACAGATGGTAAACACCTTATTCATAGCTCAAGCCACCCCAGACATCAGACAAAGGCTCCAAAAACTTGAAGGCCTTGACAGGATAAATATCACTCAACTGATTAAAATTGCCCACAAAGTATATCTAAACAGAGAAGCCCAGGGTGACAGAGAGGCTGAAAGAAAAATGAAGTAAAGGTCCTGGCAGCTGCCCTAAAACAAAGAGAGATGACCAAAAGGCAGAGAAAAGTGGGCAGCCAAGAAGGGGAAGCCTAGTACGCCCTTAGCCAGGGACCAGTGTGCTTACTGTGAAGAGAAGGGGCACTGGAAGAACAAATGCCCTATTGGAGGCAAAGCCCCAAAGCCCAGTCGCTGCCAGGAGAAGCCTCACAGAGAAAGGCTCATTAGTCTGGCAAGAACAGACTCAGATTGACAAGGACCTGGCTCTCTCATGCTCAGCCCCCATGAGCCCATGGTAAAAATGAAAGTGGGGGAACAACAGATGACTTTTATCATTGACACGGGTGCAGAACACTCTGTGGTCACCCTCCCTGTAACTCTCTTCAGTAAAAAGACTGCAACTATTCTTGGAGCCACTGGAACATAGGAGTCCAGTAACACTTTTGCCAAGCCTGCCAATGTGAACTTGGAAGCCACAAAGCCCAACTTACAAAGACGGGGAGAGAGCGTGATACCAGGGTGGGAGTCTGAGAGGAAGGTCGCCAGGCCTGGAGGAAGAGGGTGATGACCTGGAAGCGTGTAGAAGGTACTGCTGTAAGTGCAAGGTTGGCCTAAGCCTGGAAAAAAGGAAGTTAATCGGTTCATATACACTGTAGGTTTGAAAAGAGTGGAGTGAATGGATGCTGTCATGGAGCTTGGTAACTTCTACACTTGACTTGGAGATTTCCCAAGTTTGACTTGATCTTGACAAGATGTCCACTGGTTCATGTGTTGGTTAATCCACGGAGCGGTAGTGTCACTTTTTTTTTTTTTTAAAGAACCACACCAAAAGTGTGGGTGGAATAGGAAAGACATGAAATGTTCAGTCCTAGAAGTAAAGCACTTACACCTGCCTACCCATTCACTTAATGGTTTTGGTCCCTTGAAAATGACGCGTTATTTGAAACAAAACCACATGAAAGCAAAACTTCTCCCCTCCTGCAGCTTACACTCTCTCACAAAGGGAGTCTTTCCAACCAATGCCTTCCATTTCTCCCACTGTTTCTGACAGGGAAAAATTTACAAGGGCAGCAATCTAGTCCAGGTGGCTCCCTTCTGTCTCTCTCTCCTCAATACAAACAGAAACAAAACACTCCCTTGATTTCCTGCTCTGCCGAGCACCCACTCCCTAGGTTCACTCCCTAAGCTCCCTCCCCCTTGCCTGCTCGCTTGCTGTGCACATAGGAATGTTACAGATACGGAAGCAGAAAGATATATATTGCTCCCTTTCCTTTGTTCGGGGCTCAGACTTTTGGGAGATTACTCACCTCTGAGCCCGCCGGTGTGAAATAAAGCCTCAACACTTTAAGACCTTCGAGTGCTGCTTGGTTCTTCTGTCAGTGATCCAGTCCAGGCTTTCCAGTATTTTCCGTAACTTTTGGGTCCCTAACCAGGAAACCCAACCGCGCTGGCCCTTTGTTGCCACTGGTTTGGGGAAACAGCGGAGCGGTGAGGGAAGAGGAGATCACAATGGAGAACGCGCGCCCTGCCTGACCTTTCGGTAGTCTCCCACCCGGTCTCTCTGGACGAGTCCCGCTCCGCTGTTCCCGCCGGACTCCTGGAGGCTTGGCAGGTGAGGAACTGGTTCCGCCGTCGAATCCGGTAAGGCCCTGGGGCCCCTGACCCAGTCAGTCCCACCCTTTGGGGTGGAAGGGGAGCCTGATCACCTCCCGGAGACTTCTTAGAAGTCTCACAGGTAGACATTCCCAGGGAGGGGAGTGCAGGGCAGCTGAAGCCATTCAGTCTGCACCGAATCTGTGATTTCACCGCCTGTGCTACGGAATCTAAGTGGGCCCTTCACCTCATTGGCAGTCAGCTGCCACGACATAACAGTGACTCAGCTTCGGCTGACCTGGCCCGGGACTTATACGGGTGCACCTTAGTCAAGGCTGACCAAAGTCTCCCCAAGGAGCACGAACGGACGGGCATCTGACTGGTCTTCTCTCAAGAGGACGCACCCCTCCCTTGTCTGTTGTCATAGCACCTTTACACGGACACATCATGGGATCAGGGCACAGTAAACCCACAGTCCTTGACACTATGATCAAGAATTTCAGGAAGGAATTTTCAGAAGACTACAGAATGAAATTAAGTCCTGACAGGTTGAAAGCCCTGTGTGAATCTGAATGGCCCACTTTCAGTGTAGGGTGGCCTCCGGAAGGGTCTCTAGATGTCCCAACAGTCTGCCAGGCCTGGCAGGTCATCGCTGGAGATCCAGGTCATCCTAATCAGTTCCCATACGTTGACTCATGGTTAGGAATTGCCCAGACTCTTCCCCCTTAGGTGCAATTTGCTTGCAACAGGCAGGGACAGGGTAGGGTCTTAGTTGCCTCAACAAAGAAGCCTGCAAAGAATCAACAGAACCTTGGGCCTCCATAAATTCTTGCTGGTGACCCAGAGGAAGAGGTAGTATTGCCCTCACCTTATGTGCCCCCAAAGCCATCAGCACCCAGCCCCCCCGTCCCAGACACCCCACCGCTGTTGGCCTCCCTGCCATCTCCAGAACCAGCGGATCCACTCTTTTCTGGACCAGCAGCCAGACTGTGCCCTCAGCCAGGAACAGGTGCTTTTCAGATCCTGGTGCAAGAGACACAGGAGCCTGAGAGGCGTGATGAAGACAGGACCATCCAGCCCGGCTGGTCCATGTTTTACTGTCAACCCTTCTCCACGACTAACCTCCTCAATTAAAAACACAACATCCCATCCAAAAAGCCACAAGCCCTCGTTGGTCTCATGAAATCCCTCTTCCAAACCCATCGGCCAACCTGGAAAGACTTCCAAGAGCTTCTATACACCCTGTTCACAATGGAAGAGAGGAGGCAGCTGGGGTCCTTGATTGGGGTACATGGGCTGAAATCGCTGTCCCCGAGTAGCACCCCGAGTGGGACTTCACCACCCCTGAGTGACAGCACCAGATCTACCGATATCAGGACACCCTCCTCCAGGGGATCAAAGTCTGGTCCAAAAAGCCTATGAACATGACCAAAGTATCTTCGGTCACTCAACAACTAGGAGAGTCTCCTGAGGATTACTATGAAGGACAGTTGTGAAGATTATCATATCTACACCCTCTTTAATCCTGAGTTACCAGGGAGCCAACAGATGGTAAACACCTTATTCATAGCTCAAGCCACCCCAGACATCAGACAAAGGCTCCAAAAACTTGAAGGCCTTGACAGGATAAATATCACTCAACTGATTAAAATTGCCCACAAAGTATATCTAAACAGAGAAGCCCAGGGTGACAGAGAGGCTGAAAGAAAAATGAAGTAAAGGTCCTGGCAGCTGCCCTAAAACAAAGAGAGATGACCAAAAGGCAGAGAAAAGTGGGCAGCCAAGAAGGGGAAGCCTAGTACGCCCTTAGCCAGGGACCAGTGTGCTTACTGTGAAGAGAAGGGGCACTGGAAGAACAAATGCCCTATTGGAGGCAAAGCCCCAAAGCCCAGTCGCTGCCAGGAGAAGCCTCACAGAGAAAGGCTCATTAGTCTGGCAAGAACAGACTCAGATTGACAAGGACCTGGCTCTCTCATGCTCAGCCCCCATGAGCCCATGGTAAAAATGAAAGTGGGGGAACAACAGATGACTTTTATCATTGACACGGGGGCAGAACACTCTGTGGTCACCCTCCCTGTAACTCTCTTCAGTAAAAAGACTGCAACTATTCTTGGAGCCACTGGAACATAGGAGTCCAGTAACACTTTTGCCAAGCCTGCCAATGTGAACTTGGAAGCCACAAAGCCCAACTTAAGTTTATCTACCTGCCCAAGTGCCCTGATCCCCTCCTCAGCCGAGATATACTCTCAAAGTTTGGAGCCCAATTAACTTTTGAACCAAGTGGATGCACCACCCTCAAACTAAACCCAGGCTAAGAAGAGTCAGGGTCCCTCATACTGGCAATAACTGCACCTAGGGAAGAGGAGAGGAGGCTATGATGTGCCCTCTCAAGTAGCCCACCTGAATTCAGAGCTGCCTTCCCCTCAGTATGAGCTGAAGACAACCCACCTGGACTTGCTCATAACCAAGCCCCTGTCACTGTAAAATTGACTCCGGGGGCCCAGCCTCAAAGAAGGCAGCAGTAACCCCTCTCACAAGAAGTGAGAGTGAGAATCCAGGAACACCTGATCAGACTCAAAGAGGTAGGCATTCTGACCGAGTGTCAGTAGCCCTGGAACATCCAGCTTCTACAAGTCAAAAAGCCAGGAGGAGGACACTGGCCTGTTCAAGACCTGCGAGCCATTAACAGAGTGACTGTTTCTTTACACCCAGTGGTCCCAAATCTCTACACCCTTCTCAGCCAGATTCCAGGGTCTGTCAAATGGTTCACTTGTTTAGACTTAAAAGATGCCTTTTTCTGCCTCCGGCTAGCCCCCCAAAGCCAGCTCTTGTTTGCCTTCAAATGGACTGAACCGGATATGGTGGCAGATGCGGTTAACATGGATGCAGCTTCTTCAAAGGTTCAAGAACTCACCCACTCTCTTTGAAGAGGTACTGGCCACAGACCTTGCCAGCTTTCCAAGGGAAGCCATGCGCTGCACCCTCCTGCAGTATGTAGATGATCTCTTCCTTGCCAGTGACATCAAGGAAAATTGTGGAAAAGGCACAAAGTCCCTCCTGCAACTCCTGTCATTCTCAGGATACAAGCCTCATTTAAAAAGGGCACAAATCTGCCAGCAGCAAGTCCAGTACTTGGGCTTCCTCCTCACCTAGGGAAAAAGGGCACAAGGGCTGAAGAAAAAAAAGGTCATTATCTCCTTAGCCCAACTCCAGATGAAGAAAGGCTTATGAAAGTTTCTGGGGGCTGCCGGGTTCTGCAAAATCTGGATTCCTGGATTCTCGGCAATGGCAAAACCCCTCTGCAGCCTCCTGTGGGGGCCATACCGAGAACCCCCTGTCTACACAGAAGAGGCAAGAGCCACCTTACTGGAAATAAAGGCTACTTCAGAACAGGCACCAGCCCTAGGCCTGGTAGATACAAAAAAGCCCTTCAGTATCTTCATACATGAAAAAAAAGTAGCCCTTGAAGTTCTCACTTAAACTGTTAGGACCTGGCAAAGGCTGGTTGCATAGCTGTCAGAAAAAGAACCTAAACCCAATTGAGGCAGGATGGCCACCCTGCCTCAGGACACTGGCAGCCATAGTTCTATTCTATTCACTAAAAAAAGCAGATAAACTTACTCTGGGACAAAAAGTAAATGTCAAGGTCCCCCATACTGTTGTGTCCCTCTTAAACACAGGGACACTGATTCCTCTCCACCTCTCAGCTGGCACAATACTAAAACTCCTCAAGGCTGCCTGGCTCCAAAAAGAAAAGTAGCAATTCTGCATTGCAAAAAATACCAAAAGGAAAACTACCCTATAACACAGGGGAACCAGCTGGCAAATAAGGCAGCTAAAACAGCAGCCAATAAAAACAGATAAAGCTCCTTCTCTCACCATGGCTCTAACGCCCCCAGTGGTGGCCCCTCCACCCAAGTACAGTGTAAAAGAGAAGGACTGAGCAATGGCTGAAGGAGCCACCCTAACAAAAAAAAAAAAAAAATGATGGATGCTGCCTGATAGATACATCTTTGTCCCACCTGCAACCAGAAGGCATCTAGTCAGCAAATGCCATCAGCTCACCCAACCTAAGAAAAACTGCACTAGAAGCCCTCCTCAAAAAGCAATACTAACCTGCCTTTGTAGCAGATGCACTACAGATTTATTATTATTATTATTATTATTTATTTATTTTAAAAATTCTTTTGAAGAACATTATGTATACTAGGCTTTCCCCTACCCCAAGTCCCCCCCACAAACCCCATTACAGTCACTGTCCATCAGCATAGTAAGATGTAGAATCACTACTTGTGTTCTCTGTGTTGCAAAGCCCTCCCCTTTCCCCCAGCCCCCACATTATACATGCTAATCATAATACTCCCTTTCTTCTTCCCCGCCCTTATCCCTCCCTACCCTCCCATTCTCCCCAGTCTCTTTCCCTTTGGTAACTGTTAGTCCATTCTTGGGTTCTGTGATTCTGCTGATGTTTTGTTCCTTCAGGTTTTCTTTTGTTCTTATGCTCCACAGATGAGTGAAATCATTTGGTATTTGTTTTTCTCTGCTTGGCTTATTTCACTGAGCATAATACCCTCTAGCTCCATCCATGTTGTTGCAAATGGTAGGATTTGTTTTCTTCTTACGGCTGAATAATATTCCATTGTGTATATGTACCACATCTTCTTTATCCATTCATCTACTGATGGACACTTAGGTTGCTTCCATTTCTTGGCTATTGTAAATAGAGCTGTGATAAACATAGGGTGCACTACAGATTTTAACTAAATCTCTCAACATTACCTGGAAACTCCATACTGCATACAGGCCACAAAGTTCAGAGAAAGTGGAGTGAATAAATTGTATCCTTAAAGGAACTCTAGCTAAGTTTTGCCAAGAAACTGGCCTTCCATGGCCAGACCTACCACCCCTGGCTGTCCTACATATTGCTGTACACCTGGGACTCAAGGCTTTTTCCCTTTTGAATTAGTGTATGGACACCCTCCCCCATGTCTAGGAATCCTCCCAGGGAACCTACACCAG